GTATAAGTATAAGTATAAGTATCAGTATCAGTATCAGTATCAGTATAAGTATAAGTATAAGTATAAGTATAAGTATAAGTATAAGTATAAGTATAAGTATAAGTATAAGTATATGTGTATATTCATGTTATTTTATGACATTAAATCATACAAACAAAATTATACTACTTACTAATAAAACGAATTCGGTTACCGACTTAATAATAACAATTGTTTGTAAGCGGAATTATTGGGCTTTCAATCAATCAAATCTATGTGAGTTTCTTGTTCCCTGCTACCCAACTCGATTTGATATTAGATTACATAGAATTAATACAATATTGAGAAAGAAATAAAACTGCGCAATCATATGACAACATTATAAATCAAATCTTAATAATTAATTGTCATCAATTGATAATATTTTATGTTTTCCGCTCCAAAAGTCTGATATGAAATAAACACTGCGCTACCTTACAGGAAATTACGTACGCAATTACTGCGTCATGTTTACTGAAGAATCCACTAGGTGGTCGAGTAAGTAATGTTTTTTACATGATCCTTAATGCTATTGCTAAGCTTAAACTAAACTTATGCTTTGTTTACTTATCATAAAAATTGGATGTTCTTACTTTTATTACTTATTTTTTATATAATCACTTTTATTATAAATTTAAGAGCTAGGATCTTAAATGGTATATTTGGGCAAAGACATTGATCCAGACTAACAGACGCCAGGGTGTCCTTGTCTGTAAACATGGCGACGGAACGTCGCCATTGCTAATATTCTTTGTACACGAGTTACTTTTAATTTAGATTAAAGTTAAACGTGTTTATTTTTAATCTTTTATTTCATAAAATTATAGCTTACATTAAGAGCGATAAATGTTTTTTAAAATTCAATTACACATTATTTTCAACTTTGACTTTGTCTTAGTTTAGTTTGTGTACGATTTAAGTCGTTCAGCACTCAGGTCTATAAGGAAAAACCTAATTGATATATAACGTATTCTTACATACATGACGCATTAGAGATTAATCTATATAAATAACATCCATTGTTTGTATGTACGTCACCTAAAAGTTCCTAATATACCAATGGGTAGATTTCAATCAACATTTTGAAGAGTATTTTGAGACGCCGAAAAAGGCTTGTGTCTTAAAAACATTAAAAAAAAACAAAAATAGTTATCATATTACTTGCTTGTTACGATATTGCTTGCTTGTACTATGACAATCTCTTATGATCTCAAGTTCTTAATTCCAAACAAACTAAGTCGAGGCAAAGTTCAAAAGGCTTAATTTAATATTACAAGCTACACAAAAATATTGTTGTTTTTAAATGAAGGATACAGACAAGTACTACAAGCGAACCTCACTAGTTTATCGAAACTTATAAATAAATATAACGTATACGAACTACTCCAGTTTTCCTATTGAATCATTAAAACGATGTCGTTTTTAACTGAAATTATTTTAAGTTATCTACTGTTAATTGGTGTTTTGGAAAATAAGTTTCAATCTTCAGATATATATGACCCACTAACAGATACGGAACCGACGGAATATAATGAATCAGAAATCAACGTTCACAAGAACATCGAAGATACACAAGAAAACAAGACAGATCCTATAGAGAATATTGCCAGCATACAAGTAGGATTACATAATATCTCAAAGCCAGATAATGCGGAAGAAGTAACTAAAATTTCAAATATGGAAGCTATTCTAAGCGCACCCTCCGCAACTAACAACACTGGCATTTAAAAGTGGTCTTAAAACAATATAACTTCGTTGTGTATGAAGTAATAAGTGGAATGTCTTTAAAAAAACATGTTATCGAAATTCATTCTGTATTATTTTAACGTTATTAAATAGTGATATGAGTGACCTGGTATGTATTTAAAACAACAGTATTTTCTTGTTTACCTACATATATGATTCAACAAAATAAAAAAATTAAACAAATGAAGCTTTTGATTTTTTTAATAAAAATTCAATTTGAAGAACATTGTTTGCGAATAAAAACATTTTTAAATGAAATTACGATTATTAATTTAAATCTACTTCAAAAAAAATTTTCAAAGCTGTTGAAAGAAATTTTTCCAAGTTGGGTTTTATCAGAAATTCTACATAAATCAACGATAAACTTAAGAGACAATTCGTTAAACAGAATAACAATGTCGTTTTTTCTAAGAAATGCTTGTTCAAATATCATAAATTAATCGTAACAAAGGAGTACTAGTGATGCGCCAACTGAAAGTCGCCTATAATACTTGCCAGTCCAGAGGAAAAATATGCTTATAATGTAAAACATTAATCCAATAAACAATATACTAAATAAATATTTCTATTCGTTTTTAATTTTCAAGATTAATAAATAATAAAACAATATTTAGTTATAAAAAGAAAACATTATAAGATTGCTTGTTTTTTGCACATAAAACGTAAGTAGGTTTTTTTTTATTCATGCGTTATAACTTGATCATCACAGGAGAGCTTTCGTCTATAAAATGGTGTTTCGCAAGCGTTTGTTTATCTTTTATGTTAGATCATAAACATTACCGAATTGCGTTTTATCGTCAGCCAGCAACTAGTGGAAAAACATTAAGTAACAAAGCCGTAAAAGAACGTGTATACTTTTTTTTTTAAACCAATTGTTTTTGAAATAAGAATGTGTAACTACGCCAAGTTACTTCATGTAGGTATGTGTAACCGTTAAATCGAAAAAAAAGTTTGGAAAACATAATGGACACTTATAAATATTTTTTTGTACAAATCTGTACTTTTTAGTTATTTTTTCAAATATCAATATATAGAACGGAAGGTAATAGTGATAAAAAAAGCTACAGTTACGAACACGGACTTTAGGAAACATTTTTTTTAGGATTTTAAATCATTCAATACATTATAACAGATTCTAAGTAGAACTAAATAAAATAAAATGTTCTTCAATTTTAATGTATGTGAAAGTGTTCGTTTATTTGGGACTTCGAGTGCAGGTTAAACTTCAAAGCGTCGCGTCAGGAGAGTCGTTTGTTACCTTCACGCCTGTTACTGGCATTCTATGTTAACTTTGTTTCAACAATAACTGTGAGTTTCTATTGCTGAAACATTTGTACAAAAAACATATTGTTGTTCTTGTTTTTTTTTGTACTTTATAGAAATGTAATTTCGTTATTGATAATTTCTATTATCTAACTTAGATTATATTACGTAATAATTTAAATAAAATTCAAGTCAGTTTTTAAAGAAAATAATCACAAGTTTTTATTTCTAAACATGTTTAAAAAATTTTGACGAGATGGTTAAGTACCAATTAGAATTCTCATATTTATGACGATGCATACTCTATATAAAATATGACCAATCTATTAAATTTACTATAAATGTTTTAATGTAATACTAAAATAACTTCTGAATAGTAATTAAAATTGACAGCATTATGTTTCCTTAGTGACCTAAACGCCGTGAACCCAAATACTTTGATTAATATTCGGGCTTACGTGATATAATGGCATCGCCCTCGCGACCCTCGACCCTACCCTGTTATAGAAATTATTGTCTATTAAACTGCCAGCAGTTGTAACTCTATTATAGAGCCTTTGAATAATCTGTGCAAGTAAATTGGACCATAACAAAAGATGATGTTATGGAAACAGATTAAAAAGAAAAAGAATAACGTAACTAAAGCAAATCAAACAAAACACAACAAAAAATAAATAGTATCAAGAATTCATAAAAAAAAATATAGCGATTTGAAACGTTAAAAATTTAATTCCTAATACGACATTTGAAAACCAAATTAGTTAGATTTTTCGCATATTAATATTAGTAAGTTTTAGACATAATATGTTTAGATTTATTCAAATAGATAGTTTCATATTTCCAGTCACATAGCGTATAGACAATATAAGCAATCTTGACCCAGACCAGCCGACGCCATAGCGTCTCTCAGTCCCGCCGACAAGAACAAAGACGTATACTATGACGTGACAATATTATTAACTAGCCTCACCCTCTCTCTTATACCTATAGTTACTAAATTCATTTGTTAAATCTAATTAAAACTAATCAAATCTAGCGTAGAGCGTTACTTTGATGAGTCGTTTAGATAAATATGAGTTTAACTCAGTAGTCTCCTGATGCCTCACTTATGTGCTGTGAATGCTCCATCTAGAGGTTTATGGGGTAAAAAAAGTATAATTTTTAAGCGCATTATAGACTATGGAACTTTATGAGACGCGTCCGTGTATCCTTTTTATTAGGGAACAAGGAAAGAAATAAACAAGGTTTATCTTTGTACGTTAATTTAATTAGCTCCAAACTTCCGTTGAATAAGGCAGTAAACTTTAATTAACTGTTATTCGTTATCTGTAGCCAATATATGAAATTGGCTCCGAAATTCATAAGACATTTATCTTAATACGTCTATAAATACTGTTTCTCTATTCTTCAAGGAAATTATTATTTGTTTTGTACTATGATAATTATAAATTATTATAAATTTGACTTTTCAATTGTGATATTTTTTTTAATACGCAATAGGATACCCTGTATGAAAACGTAAAAGTTATGTTTTATTTTTTTCTTCTCTACTATTAAAAAAAAATGATTAATGTACATTATTCACGTATGAAAAAGTATTACAGGTAATAATTCAAAGTACATTTTTCATTAAATAGTAATCACAGTTTTTCATTAAAATGTCTACTTCCTAAAGCTATGATTCGCGCTCATAAAACAAAGAGCATTTTTTATTACACAGCTATATCGTTCCATAAAAAGCCATTAAAGTCAAGTATAAAAGTTATTATTTTATTAACGCCTGCTACTCTTTGAAGCCCGTATAATAAAGAGAATGAAATTAAAACTCTATGACAAGGGAATAAGGATATCAGATTACAAAAATATTACGTATATTGTGGAGTTGTTGCGAATAATCAACTACTCGTTTATTAAATGTTTAGAATAACGTTAAAAAGTAGGAAATGGATAATATGTACTCACATTATTTTTGGACCTTATTTTAGTTGCAGCCAAATCTGCCCCAACAGCGCTGTAATAAATAAAATCTGTCTTAACAAACTTATGTTAGGTTTATTCTATAAAATTTTACTCAGAAATCAATCGTAAGTACATCGTCAATAGTAATAGAATTGCTTTTATGTTTAAAGAAACTCGTAACCTTTTCAATTTGTGTTTGTTTAGGTCAAGATAGCGGTCCTTGTTTTTAAAAAGCAAATACGATGAAGCTCCAAGGGAATAGTCTACGTTCGACGATAGTATAGAAAATCTATATAAAATAAGATTGTGAACGTCTTTTGTAAAAACTCGTGATTACGACTTTAAATAAGGAATTTCATCGAATAAACGCCGAGAGGAATTTAATTTACTCACTATAGACAAAAATGTAGGTAGCCACCTCATTGAGTATTTTTATATATTATTTTACAAGTTTACACTTAAACTGAACCACAATATTAAGTTGATTCACTTTAAATTTAAAAATTCATTTCAAGAATTTCATGTTCTCGGAAACACTTTACCACTTTGTAGTTTATTTAAATTATGTATATCCAAAGAGTGTTGTTATCTCTTACAAATGTCCTAACCGTTGTCGAAGAAAAAAGAATTTGACTGAAGGTAAAGTACCTACATAATTTTATTTAACAAACACGTAGATGAAAAAATAATGTTTTGGAACTATGCGTTATTCACACTATGATATTAAAGAGGAAATTTATAAATTAAAAAGTATATTTGGAAGGAATCTAACAAAATTGGTAATATAAATTACAGGAACTAAAAATGAGTATTGAACAGTATTATGAAACTTTAAAGAATAAATACATTATTTATTTCAGCTATTTTTTTAAGGCTTTACAGAGCTTTTTGGATCTGCCTGGATCAGCCATGTCTTTAAATTATTTTTAAATGACTGGTAGTCGGCGGGCCCATGACGTGTGTTCACTTCTCCGTCTTCGCCAGTCGGTGCGGCTCCAGAGCCAACATCCTGATTTATTTTGGGTTTTAAAATTGCGAAGGTGTCTTAAACTAAGTAAGTAAGAAAAAGTAATTATATTGCTATATAAATTGAGCACCTTTTAGTAGAGCTTACTCTTTGATCTCTTCATATTGAGAATAACCTATGGAACTATATTCTAATAATGGCAACATCAATTTCAATCAGTGCATATTTTATATACTCTTTGATCAGTGTCCAAAAAACCATAACAACAAACTCTTTGGTTGTCATAACCACAGAGTAAATAAATATAATGTCATAACATTGACATTGTTAATTGTTGTCGAATTTTCAAATTATTTCATTATAATCGCTTTGTAATTTTTGAGTTCGGCAATTAACATAGAATAAGTAAAATACATAACATTATTATTACTTGGACGTATTGACGAACATGTACGATATTCCAATAGTTGTGTGATGTCCAAGAGTTGTGGGAAAAATATGTATGGGAGATAAATAATAAATGATAAGACAAATTTAATTATCATTTTCTTTTTATTTATACATAAATCAATTTGAATTATTACCTAAAAATAACAATCCTCGTTGTTTGCGTCGATTTATACACTGCATACAAAGAGCACATTGGAGCACATTTGTATTCGCCGTTGTCTATGTTCTATAAAATATTTAATCTGTATTTATTGTTTATAGGCGCATCACATGACCATTTATTTGTCCCCGTGACCAAGTTGAGAAAATTCAAAAATAATTACGCGCAATGTCCAAAGTGGAATTAAAGGTGGACGTAGAAGAAAATTCACTTGATAACAGGTAAAATAACATCATGCACAATGATTAGAAGTATAGACAAATGTCTTATATAATTACAATTATGTGCCAACGAAGGTCGTCATTTTAGTTTTGCAATTTGCCAAGTTTATCGTTGCAGTTTTAAGTTTTTGGCAATTCTCTCTAAATTTCACTTTGCGCCATTTCTTACAGTGCTGACAACGAATTACTAGTGGTAATGGAAGATCCACTTTACGGTACGTTATTAAATACCTTTAAATTAGAAGTAGAAAGTAACAATTGTGTTCAAGAATTTCTATATTTGCAAACTGTTTTACTTAAATTAACTTGGCTGACTTTTCTTGGCGTTTCAGTTTGTTTTTTACGACAGTATATTTACCAATGTGCAGCTAGTTAGCTCATATATTATTGAATTGAATTATCTGATATTGATATTTTAAATTTAATTATGATTCCTTACAGAGGATACCAAAGACAACGTACAATTAGTTTCACCGAGCTTTTTAGACAACAACGAAGAAGAAAATAATACGCCCTACAATTTTCGCGACTTGTGTTAGTTAATCTTATTTATTAATATTATTCAGCATAGTTATTTCACAAATAAGTATGTACGACATACTTCTTACTAAAAGTTATTTGAAATGCTTTATAGTTTTAATAGGCATCTTTATATAAGAACAATTATAATGTTTGTATTCAAAGGAAATCTGTTTTTCTACTCATATTATAATGAATTTTCAGCTGGTGCAGTAACATACAAACTAGTCCATATGACTGGAGAAAAAAGTAACAATAATATGGCATCACATTCACCAGCACACGGTAAATATATTTTGTTCTTGTAACAAAGTATCTGTAAACTTCAATAAAAATACTTCTTACAATTACTATTTCCAATTATTCATTTATATAATAGATTTGAAAACTATATTTTTGCATTTCAGTAATTCCTAATGGTGAATTTTATGTTATAACCAATTCCGATGAGGTGTTCACAACCACGCCAGCTCAAAAGAAAGCAATAAGAAGGCAACCATTGCAAACAAAAGCAATAACTACAGCTAAGAAAGTAAGTATTTGGATTCAATTGTATTTAATGTTATATGGAATCAAGAAATAACCTTTGTTTTCATTATGATTAAATTTAATTAAAGAACTGGGACAGCAGCAATTCTTCAACCAGGTCAGGCTATTCATTGACATTTCTAACTATATTCAAGAGTATGATGTGAAGATAGCCTCTTGATATCTTTTATAATGTCTACAAGTGATAATTATTTTATTTTATCATTTACCAAAGATTGGATCGGATTTACTTCTGTACAAATGTTATTTTTTAAGCGGGATGACAAGAGACGCGCGACACATAATGAAGTTGAACGGCGGCGTCGTGATAAAATCAACAGTTGGATCACTAAATTGGCAGCTTTAGTCCCCAACTCAGGTCTACCAGATGCAGCAAGCAAAGGCGGCATACTGGCTAAAGCATGTGATCATATAACAGAACTAACGGAAAAACAAAAAAGGTTAGTTTAAATTTTAAACTTCTTGTATTAAAAAAAAAACAAAACTTGTGTTTGTATTATACTTTCCTATGTGGTCGGCTCTATGATAAATAGATAGAACAATTTCAAAGAGTGCAACTTCATTTCATTTTAGTGTTAAATTGTCAGTGAACTAGTATTCCTAAATTTATTTTACTTTAGTTTGCTGTAACCAAATTTTGTATATTTGACAACAAGATTTTATAAGCTATGCAGACAACAGATACTAATAATAACCAAATATTATTATCGCAGGTTGGAAAAACTAGAAGTGGACAATGATAAACTTGTATTAGAAATATTGAGACTGAATCAAGAGCTGTCGAAATTGAGGGAAGAAAACACTTCGATGCGGCAACAATTGGCTGACAACTGCCAAACTCCACAGACTTACCATAGACCAAGGGGACAGAAGTCTTAGTTCAGGGTATACAGTGAATGAACTTGAACAAATTGTAATTTGTGAGTGAATAAGGTGCTGTTTAGACGCAAGTTGAGGTATGTGAACATATTTAGGGAAAAAAAACTTTGAAGTTCTGTTGTTCATGTCTTGTTTTTTTAGTTTTCATTCTTTGTTGAGATTAAGTCGTAAAATGATGATAGATTTAACTATTGGTCCTAAGTTTAAATTTGTTTTAGTTATAGTCAGAATAGCCCGGGAGATATTTTGTATCTTATTAGTTTTGGTTATTTTTTTTTCAAATAAATGTAGCTGGCATGTAAAATAAGTTTAGAATTGTCAGTTGTATTGTAAAAATGTGACATCACATTACATTATGTATGAAATGTTATTTATTAATATATAAGTAGTTTTTATTGTTAGGAAATTAAGTTTTTTTTTTAAATAAATTAATAAATAAAGTTTCTATTAGGAACTTATTTTGAGTTACAATAGCAGTTTAAATTAGTATGTCTTGTAGATGTTAAGGCAGCCAGGTTTTGCCAATAATGATATTAAAAAATATTTTATAACAAAAGAAATCATTGTTAAAAAACATATTGTCATTAATTTCTGATAGATTTGATATATCTAAAGTTAATGTTACCTTTAAAAGTTTTTCCTTTATTGAGAGGATTTAACTAAATATTAGTACCTGGAAATTAAAAATATTTTTACAGTCATCAAGTATTCAATGTAGTGCAAATATTTCTTAGTTTAAAATGTAGTTTTTGTTTTCAAATTTGAAACAGTGTTTTATGTTTGGATCAGAAGTGTGCATAAAATCTTATGAAATTATGAAAATAATTCGTTATCTTTCATTCATGATTAACCAAATTGTTGTTTTAGTTTAATTTTAAATTTTGTATTTTTTTCTATTATGTCAAGAGTTATGGAATATAATCAAGTGTTATTGAATATTACCGTTTTATTTCATGCCTAATTTACATGTAAAATGTTTTATTTGAGTATTTTGAAACATTTATAACCAGCCACACAGTCCCTTAGCGTAAATTTTTATACTAAAATTGTACTTAGTAGGTAGATATAATATGAAAATTAAGTCTTGTGAAACTATTCACAACTCAAGAATGGAAAAGCTAATTTGGTTGACTGGAGACACGGACATAGGATACTTTTTAATGCAGATTATTAAGCATGAAGTTCTGACTAAAAGCTAGTATATAGTACAATTGTCATGTTGTGCCAATCTTTTTGAAGGTATGGGGTGGAAATGGAAACGAAATGGTGCACATAAATACTTAAAAGGTACATTATCAGAGGGAGATATCTAGAAATTGTTAGTTGGGATTTATTTATATTAATTCAAAAGGAAAATAGTTAACATATGATGGCTGTTATCATTAAAGCAATGCAAAAATAGACATACTGCCATATTTCTGTGGAGTATTGTACTTAAAAAAAAAAACATCAATAATTAATTTTTATTTTCAATTATGTCCTCACTTGTTGCTACTACTTTCTCATCAGTTTCATCTAATATCACATCTGTACCCACAACTGGAGCGTAATACACAGAGACATTGTTCTCATTGTCTGTCTCTTCTGGAGGTAATGTGTTCCGACAAGTCTTGCTTTTTTCCAAATGTGTTATCAAAGAATGCTTTTTGGAGTATCGTGTATCACAATATGGGCACATGAATGGTTTCTCGTCTGGAAATAATTATAAACAACTATTTAAGTAATGATGTCCCATCTACATTGCAACTGATTAAGTTTTTTACCCGACTAACTCAAATGTTTTTTTATGTATGTAACTTTGTATGGCCTAGAGCTGGGGATGCGAACATTTATCAGGATGCCATCCATTTATTTAGAATTTGTGATGATAGGAAATATACTAGAGTTGCTACTTTACGCAATTCTTTTGTGATGCAAAATCATTTTGTAATTAGTGCATCCCTGAAATATAGTCATGTGTGCCAATGGTTCACTATCCCTGGTCTAGAGATATTTATTTTTGGTGGGTAAAATGTCATTCGATTCGTATTCTTCTCCTGAGCATGTAGTTGGTTTTAATTTTTTTCTCAGCTAAAAGGAAAACATTTTTTTTAATTCCATACCTGTGTGACATTTCATATGTCTATTAAGTACGTCTCGTCGTGCGAATTTACGATTGCAGTGCTCGCAAGGGTAAGGTTTTTCGCCTGTATGGTGCCTGAAATAAAACAATTATCTACTTATGATTTTTTTTAAATAACATATAAAACGCTAATAGCCGATAATGTATTCTTTTCAAATATCTTGGCGGCCCAAGGTCATGTCCGTGCTACGCAGTGCCCTTCCCCCGCATCCCGCTACACCCCAACACACTTAAGAGTGTGTTCTGCGCAGCGACTCGCGCAAAGTTTAGAGCCGCCAAGATATCTGCAAACTGTAATACTTGTTACATCGTTGTTACTAAAGCGAGTACACATTTCAGGATGAAAGCGAATGTAAATCTTTAATTACTTATTTCCGATATGGGTTAAGAAAGCGTGTGTGCTTTACTAACCTGTAATGTGTGGTCAGGTCTGTCTTCCTGTAGAAACCCATGCCGCACTCCTCACAGTGCAAAGTGTAGTTCTTAGAATGTCGTCTGAGGTGTGTTTTCAAGTTAGTAGCAGATGAACTCCCCGCTCCGCATATTGTGCATACATATTTCTGAAGAAAAAAAACTTTCGGGTCAGGAATGAACAAAAGTAGCTTAAAGCTGCTCAGTAGAAGAAAAGCGATATAACTAGATATGCGTTAAGATTAATCCAGCATATGAAGACGGTGTTTACATGTCAGTTGTATGCCAGCGCTGTTATTGATCGCTACTGTCCTACTGTACCGGCAAATGTAAACTTTGTTCTGAATATCTTTAAAAACTACTATATTCTTTATTTTTAATACATTATTTATAGATAGAAGCTGCCTTCATTGATAAACCCCAGATTTAATTTAATTGATCTACAGTCGGTTGGTTTCTGAGACTCAAATTTCTGTGTCAAAGATATCATCCCTGTCATTATCTTTGACAAAACAGGTATAACATTATGTTTTAAACAGAGATTCTGGTCCCAGAAATCCACGGCTAGTTTTAAGCATTGTTGAAGAAATAATTGATGCTTACCTTATGATTCTTGTCTGCAGGCTTCGTTTTGTGAGTGTTCTGGTGCATATTAAGTTTAGCCTCTGAAGTGAATTTCAGTGAACAAATTAGGCATACGTATGGACGTAAGATTGTGGTTTTCTAAAATTAAAATATGGATTCAGTAAAGTCTATCCCATAACATTCAGTTCTTTAAAGTATTACCTTAAAAAGATATTGTTAAAAATTATCAAAATATTAAGACATTACTTGTTATATATCTATACTAACATATGATTGATGAGTTTGTTGGTACGACAGGATTTGTTTTACTTGTACTCTCCATATATTAAAAAATATTAAGCTAAAATCTAGATATCAATATAAAAATAATATCACGCTAGAGCACTACAAATGCTACTGGAATAAATTAAAAGGTTAGTAGGAAAGATTGGGGGAAAAACCATGAGGCACAGCTAGTATGTCACAAGTATCATACTTACAGAGTGGCTTTTAATGTGCTTTATAAATTGAGGCAAACGACGATACACTTTTCCACAATAATCACAAATTCGAGGTTTTCCTAACTTATGGTGTTCGGGATTGTTGTTACTCAATCTTAACTTATGTTTTCTTCCGCAATGCACTTTCAATGCGGCAAGATTCTTAAACTGTTTGTTACACATTTTACAATAGAAATTAGTTATATTATATTTATTTTCATCTGGTGAACACTTTGATACAATCTGTTTTGTTTTCACATTACTTTTGCATATTTCTTTTCTATTTCCTTTGTTTTTATAAGTATTTTTTTCTTTTAATATATCAGTCTTCATTTCAATATCACTATCTAAATCTTGGTTTATGTTAAACTCTTTAACAGTTTCAGCTAAAATATCTTCTAATACACTATCTGATTGTACAGGTTGAAAATCTTCAATACATTTTCCTATTTTATTCATTAAAGAATTTTCACTGTCACTTTCGAATTTTTCACCAAATAGTATGTTATTTATCATTGGTGTTGGTGGTCCAGATGTATTCGATTGTACTGCAAATAAACAGTGTATTTTAAGGAAAGATATACATTTTTTTCACCTTTGAGTATTTAGGTACTTAACTAATCCCCTTTGAATTGAATCATACATATCTTTGTTTTAAAATAGCACCTTAAGGGAACAATGCCTATTTGAAGTCATCAAGAAAAAATCTCAAAGAGTTCTGTCTAAATTAAGGAATATAGTCGGAACAACTAAAATAATTATAATATTTCTACATGTTTATATAAGTAATAAAACATGAATACTATAAAATATAGGAATATTAACACTGGGTAGGAATAATCATGGTTGAGATGAACATTTTCTATTAGGAAGTTGGTTAATGAACATTCTGCAATAAAAAACTGCTACCTCTATTGAAATTATAGTGTATGGATTTAGCTTGAAAGCTAGAATTATTACTCACATGGAGGTGTAACGAGAAGATCTTCTAAGAAAACATTTTCATTATTCTCATTTAGCAAGGCTTTTTCTAGATTTTGATCTATTGTACATTTCGTTTCCATTGCATTACATTCTTCTAAATTAGGTTCTATCTTAATACTGATATCTGCTGGTATTTTAAATGTAGCAACATCTTCAGTCACTTTTTTGGCAATTTCTTCTTCAAATTTCTTTGGACTATCTTCGTTGGCATACAGAGGTGTTACAAATGGACTGAAACTAATAGAACAGCATATTAATTAATTGTCATTTATGTAAATAATTCTAGATGAACACATTTGATAAAAATTGTCTCTGGAAGATGCCAAAAAAATCTGACAATAAATAATTGAATAATCAGTTTTTTTTTCTAATGTACCTGAAATCTAGTTTGCAGCTATTGTCAATAGATACATCATCTTGTAGCCAATGTGAGTCCAAAGAGTCATCCAGAACATCCGCCTCTTCTTCAATCACTTCCCGTATAATGCGAGCTTCCGTGGCTGGTATCTCTTCCGACGCCATAATGTCGTTGATAAAGTTTTGTATACTTGTACATGTTGAGTCTGTAAAAAAAATTTATAATTATTTAGGATTATATTACAAATAATTTCAATGTATTGAAATTCTTTTTCTGTCAATATATTTACTATGCTGTTAGGTATTTCTATACCTACATTTCTATGTAGGCGAAGCGAGAGAGGTGTGTCAGAACTGTGCTAAATGGAGGTCTGAGATCTCTGCCTACCACTTTGGGTTACGGCCGTTAATTATGTTGTTTGTTGTATACTCACAAAGTAGACTTTGTACTAGCATTGTAAATGAAAACATAAATTTACCATTGTCTTCATCTTTAATATTATTATTGCCTGGTGTACTATTCCCGAGTAATGGAAGCCTGCAAATAAAAAAAAAACTAATTATGAAATCTCTACCAATATTTCACTTTGTTAAAATGCTTATTTGAGATCACCTAATTTCAGATGTCTTATGGGAAGGGCATAATTAAATTAATAAAATAATAGAGCATTCTTCCAGACTATGTTCAACATCAGTGTCAAAACTTAATTCAGATCCATTAAGCTGTTTTGAAGACACATAATACAAACAAATATCTATCCAATCTTTCACATTTTTTGAATTAGTAAGATATTTAGGTTTATTAAAAAATTATAAAACCTTACCTGAAAGTTATTGAGTCATCGTCTGTCTTGAGATAAGTAGGCAAATCAATATTTTCACCTGAATCTTTTGAAGACAAGTAATTTTTTATTCTCTTATCAGATTTATGACATAATTTCTTAAATTTACAACTAACTTGCATATTGAGGTAGCATTCTTTGCATAATTGGAATGTAAAACTGTCATTTACTTTAACCTGTAATATAATTTGTGATAAAGTTTAAAACATACAACTTACATGTGTAATTTTAAAAACTGATTGAAATAATTGATTTTTCTAATAATGTACTAGAAATCCTAGGACTCAGTGAGTACATTTACAATAAGACCTTAAGTAAATCAATGTGCACAAGAAATAAATAAAACAAAAGAAAAGTAATATAAATGAAAAAAAGCCCACCTGTATACCAGTACAATAAATAAATAATCTTCTATTCTTTTCTGAGTACTGTATTAATTCTGACGGATCATTATACTGAATTAAGCATCCTCTACAAAATACTTCCATTGTTTTTTCAATATTTCAATGAAATTAGAAAATAGGCGATGTTATTGAGAATATTTGTAAGTATTTCTAAGAAGTGACGATTAAAATAGTTTTTTACATCTTTTTAGACTACGTTAAATAACTTTAAATATGTTGATTTAATATCACAATAAATAATATTTCAATTTTTTTTCTCAGATTTGAAGCAACAAGTTCTTGAACTTATTAAATGATTTGAAGATTGAACATAAACATGTCAAAATGATATTTGCGTTCCTTAATTTGTTGAAAAATGTCTCTCTTTATGATTTCGCTCAATATTAATTAAAATCAAGAAGCATTATAGGTAAAATCTAATAAAAAATAATGTTGAAATATTAAAAAAATGCTGTAACTTGGATTTTAAAAATTACAAGTTTTCTTAGTGCTTTTTATTTGACTATAATTACTGATAATGAGAGTAACACTAACCGCTGACTGACAGTGGCAGTCTGACTTCTATACTTTTTGGTCTGACGAGTCTGACACTTAACATTGACATCTAGGATGGTGATGTAAATAAACATTGTCTTTGTAGTTTATAGTCTCTGCGAATAAGTCTTAATTTTAGACCTTACGTCTTTGTAGAATACTAAAAGCAGTGACTCATAGTCCTACCTGAATTTTACCATTTCAATCAAATTGTATATTACGTTGTTTAACATGGAAACCAGAGATGTTGAAACTACGGATCAAGTTAATGTTACAATAAAGCGTCCTATTAAAGTCATACATTTTAGTGATGGCATTGAAGAAGAAATCGAAGAGGTGCATACAAATGAATTAGCAAGTGCGCCGCACAATGAAGACAGCGTTGATCCGGTAACTTAATAATATGTATTGTTAGACATGAACATTCATTTATTTAATATGAAATATAAATATTTATACTTAATTGCAGAAAACTCTTACATGGGGCCCATGGTTCTCTCATTATGCTAAGAAATCAGGATCAAAGGTATTAGGTGCTGTAGATTATGCTGGAGAATCACTTGCAAATTTCTTTGGCATTACTACACCAAAATACCAAATTGAGATAGACGAATATGAAAGAGTAAAAGAGGAAAAGAAGAAAATGGAGGAAGAATCAGCAGGGTGGGTGCCTAAAAACAGCGGGGGCAATATACCACTAGTTTTGAACGAACCATCACGAGATGTAAATATTAACACCCAGTTCACATAAATTAACAGCAAACATAATACTGTTGACATAAGAGTAGATGCAGTATTTTCATTGGATAACAATATTCGTGGTATATTTAAAATTATAAAATAATATAATATCTAAAATTACAAAAAAGCCACACGTAAAATTGTTTTTCCATCTTGTCTTTATTCTCTGTGTTTGTAATTGTGTATCACTACTTAATAGAGCTTTAATTTTTTTCTTTAATGTGTTAATATATTTTCTAATTAACATTTTGTAAAACTTTTTATGTAAAAATAAGTATTCATAATTCGTAGAAATGAAATAACAATTGCTTATTATGTATGAAAATAAAGAATTTAAAAAGCTATTTTATAAACGTCCAAAAACATGTAACATTTTTAAAAATTTCGTATTTTTTTCTATAAAAATCTAAATGTTTTGTATGTATGATAGGTGAAGCTGGCAGAACCCAGTAGTAAACCAAACAGCATGTGTATAATATAACCATTGTAAATCACTCAACCAGATTTAATAAAAATATGGTTCATAAAATCTTCGTAAAGATTATAAATATTTTAACGTAATTAATCGTTCGTTTACTATAATTAATTTTAATTGTATTAATTTTATTTATTTATTACTAATATGAATAAAACAATAATGTCATAATTTTTATTTTATTAAAACACTAAATTTCTTATGTACGACATATATTTATTTGTTCAATGTTACAAAGACACTCCAATTTTAGTAATATATATAGATAACAAAAGCGACATCTTTTGTAAAGTAAGAACAAAAATTAGACGCTGAAGAATTGAATTCGCTGCAACCAAATGATATGAGTTTTGTGTTAAAGATGGCGCTTTACACCACTTATTTTTATACAGCACAACACTAACATGATACCATTATATTTGAAAAGAATAAATACGAGTGTTATTTAATTGATAATAGTTTATCAATTTAATTTGAATTTTTGAATAGAAAATTGCATTTACGTTGCCATTAATTGAAGAATTTGTTGCCTTTTGTGAACACCTTAAAAAAACTAAAAAAAAAGTGTTCGTATTACGAGCACAAATTATCATTCCAAATAAACTTCATCAGTAGATCTTAAGGGTTCATTTTGGCGTGATATTACAAAAAAGGAAAAAATAGAATAATTTGGTATGTAAACAAGCGGTCGTAAGCGCTATTTAAATGTGCAAGTAAAAATCGACTTTAAGAACTAGGCGCAAAGTTCAAAATGTATCGCATGTTTGACATATGTTATTGTTTGTCGGTGTTTAGCGTGTGATATGTCGAAAACGTTCCGTTCGAGCGTTGTCCGCTCGTCAGATCGATATGCGTGAGGCACGAGGGTGTTCGTCGACGTGCGATTGGCCACCACACGTAGGGCGGGGCCCGTGTGTGAGGCGGCGCGGGACACCGTTACACCGAATTTTGGCGCCAACGATAGCTCGCAATTCGCATTTCACGTTCGAATTTTAAATCATGTGCATTAATTAATCTTTGTGCACAGATTACTAAGAGATTTTGGTACATGTAGGTTTGGTAATTTATGGTATTACTGCTTACATAGAATATGCACTTTCTTGGAATATAATACTAAAAGCCAACCAATACCAAGTTAATACACATAATTAATATTTGTAGTTTTCCAGTTTTCATATAGAATTGATAACATTTTACCACAAAAGGAATATTTATATCTAATTATAATACTTTGGTTGTAAAATTAAACGTTACTTTTTAAAGAACATCTAGGTTATGTATTTACCAAATAGTAGAAGTAAGATGCTTACATTTTATTTTCAATTTGAATTATAGATAAACTGGACTGTTAACAATTTGTCCAAGTTTATTGTTGAATGGAAAAATGTTTTGTTATTTAAAGTAGATATATTAATTTATAACTATCAAAAAACATAATAATAAGTAGATTAATTTAATGTTAAACTATAGTAAAACTTTATTGAATAATCTACGACGATGCCCATTTTATTCGACTATTTATACCAAATCTTTATAAATTACGACCATCTGCCCGACATCGGTTCGAAATTATAACAAAATATTTATTTACAATCAAACACCGTGAATTTTCGTACACTGCGTTTTCGAACAATGGTCGACATTCAAAATCATTATGTTTAGCAAATCCGCGCAAAATAGAATGCGCGGGGTTTTCGCAACAACCCGTTTTTCTAGTTCATTTGCCAAATAACGGGTTTGACCACGCGCCTTTTTATAATTCGCTATATTTCTTTATAAAAGTCCCCAACGCGCGTGGAACTGTCCGCACTGGCAACACTGGTTTCTTTACAAAGAGTCACATTGTCCGGAATGACCTGCGATGTTAACGAATTATTGAATTTGTTAATAATTACCGCACGCGCCGTAAATAATTCCGAAATTGTAATAGAAATTGATTTATTACACGCAAGGTCCTGTAAGTTAGGTGGATAGACATACAATAATCGAATTTATGAAAGATTTAGAGCGTTTCACACCCTTGCCTTTTTATATCTTTGTAAGAATACATTACTTTGTGGTTATAAGAAGGAAAGGCGTAGCTGAAGGAATTTCAAATATTCTAAAATGTCAAAAGTTCGGTAAAACTGATTGGAAGAATTGTTCTGGCTGAGTTTCCTACTACAACAGTTCAGTAGATTTACGTGCAACTGCTTTGCATCGTCTTGTAAAAGACATCATAGTAAACGAGTAGTACGAGACTTGCGTATCTACATATTTTTGTAAAAGGCAAACAAGGGAATACCGAAGTGATCATCAACACCCATAAGCATCTACGATACTAGAGGAACCGCAAATGCATTTTAAATAGAGATACGCTCGCTTCTTGAAGTTCTAACTTACTACAGTTTGGAAATGCTGCAGAAGACAGACCGTTCTACAACGCAACACAATCTATTTCGAGGGATGTCAGTAATCTAGACGGTGTATGTGTTCCAGTATTGATAAAGTTGATGAACGTTAGCAACGCCTGATGTTTCTTTTTCTTAGGTCATATGTATACCAAAGATGTTTATTTCGATGGGTACTTACAACAAGAAAGTGTACATTAACTTCCACTCGTTCGAATCACATATGGTATATTTTAGATGCATTCTGTATTAGAATAACAATAGTTTATAATCATACGCCGGAACTATTCAGGTAGGAAATGCAAAGCGATACATTTGCAATATTCAAATTACGAGGCAGACCCAAAGGGTTTACGCGGCAGATGTTAGAATGAAAGTTGGCGGGCATTCGCAATGTTGTTTATTAAAAAAAATCTTTTGTGGCCATTTAAAAAGTAAAACTTCCCTTAACAATGTTCCATGCAAATTAGATGAATATTTCCAATAGAAGGTAATAAATCACATCAAACTGATATGCGAAAAACAACATTAACTGCTAAACAATTACTACGAGTTTTGCGTGAGGAATATTTGTATGCAAATATTATTTTTATTCTAAAACGATACAAGAAAAAATAACCGTTATTGTGATGTGATAAAGTTCATATTAGCATGGTGTGTAAATTGAAATTTGCATAAGCGATATCGCACACCTTTCCTGCTGATCCGTTGTATGGCAGTTTGAGTGACAGGGTTTATGTTGAATGAAATACAAATCCTGGATAAGAAGGCGCCATTTAATTTCATTTATGTACATAAAATTATTTACATATATTCCTTTATATTGAACAAGAATAAATAATAAGATATATTTAATCTCTTTTCTGTTGCATTACCTAAAACTTCTTACATCAACAAATAATTATAAAGTTGAGTTAAGAATTATGTATGCCACCTCTTTGGTAGACAAGGAGTTTGCGTTCTGCCAAAGAGGTGGCACACTGGCCTCTAAGACCTTTGTCTTTTTTTAATTAAAACAAAATAATAAAGAAAAGGCAGGAGAATCGCGCGGGAAGTTGACGTGTCAACAACGAAATGTAGGAATAAATAAAGTTTGATGAAATTATTAATGTGAATAGTTTTATCGTAATTTTTTTAACAACGTAATTAACATGTTCGCTGCCATGATGGTGATTTGAATTTATATAATAAGTTTGACTTTACAAGCATGATTGATCATCAGTTACTTCAAAATAGAAAGAGTTCTGCCAAATCAGATCAAATCTTCTGCGTTTAATTCTCTATTATTATATATTGTTTTATTAAAAACAAAGAAACTTATTTCATCTCGGTTTCTAATTATTTTAGACTTCGAATCCAAAAAAAATGTACCTTTAAATATAAAATAATAATATTTGTATAGAATTTTCAAGAACTCGTTTCGCGTATCTATTTTGCATACCGCTCACACCCTTTTGCATTTGTTATTATTAGTTACAATTTATGGCACCGGAAGTGAAGCCCTTTGAAATAAGAATGTGCACGAAGCATGCATACATATGTAAGAATGCCACACACATACAAACACTGAAAGTAAGGAAGTCACATTTTTGTGAAATCCAAAGTATAGTACAATACTAACAAAATAAGAGCCTACATTTTGCTAAATCCTATGTTTTTTAAACTTATTTATCATAGTGTTATTTGAACAACATGATGATAACCTCAATTTCTTCAAAAGTAACCAAAAAGTTGTCAATAACAATATTTTAAAAATGTAATAAGTATTATGTAAACTTTCACTATTTTATAACTAAAATTTGCTATATAATAACAACTGGACCGTTCAGTACAGCAAAAAAATCGCAAACCGGTTTCCTTTGCCAAAGGGGAACACTTAAAAACTTTTAATTCAAACACAATAAGGAACGGTCGCGTATAAAGGATGGGCAGTGTCCACTACAAAGGGCTACCAGTCGATTAATTCTCTACACAATGTCCGAGGGCCAGGCCTAAAGGTCATATTTAGGTAGGCAGGGTTAAGGGTCAGTTAGGGTTACTGGTAAATAGGAGCGTGTCCCGCGGATCCCGGGGGAGTGACTGATCCACCGAAGTTTGGACAACATGTCGCGTTCGTCGAGATTTATGTGTTTTAGCACGTTTCGTTTGATTCTATAATTGTTCGCGGTTATTTGTCACTGTTTAGTATTTGGTTGTAACGAATTATGTTAACTTATTACAAAGAAAGGAATATTTTATTGATTTCAATAAATAACTTTTTAAAACTAAATAGGATAAGCAAACCTTTAAAATTAGGCACATTTATATTGTTTAATGTTCCTATCTAATATACCATATTTAACTGATTTCGACT